TAAAAAAAAAAAAAAAAAAGATATAAATTGAGGCTAGGCGATGGTGGTGCACGGCTTTAATGCCAGCACTCAGGAGGCAGAGGCAGGTAGATCTCTGTGAGTTCGAGGCCAGCCTGGGCTATAGAGTGAGTTCCAGGACAGGCACCAAAACTACACAGAGAAACCTTGTCTCAAAAAACCAAAAAAAAAAGAGATATAATTTGAGGAAATACACTCACAAATACAGAGCAGAGTAGACAGCTAAAGTCATCCTCTGATCTGACCCGGGAGTGAATCCATCTCACAAGCAGCAGGGAGAAGGGGCATGTGACCCATCTCCCTTTCCTTATAAGAGGTCACCTACAATGGCAGGAAGCACCACCTCCTTCCAGCCCTATAGCCCAAGGTCATGGGCAGAGCAAATACCACTACATTTCCCCTTTTTGTCTAAATAAGAAGGTTCTAAACTTAATGCAAACTATATACAATAAGAATGATTATCAAGCATTGTCAAGGAGAAACAAAGGGTAATAACATAAACAAAAATGGAACTACAACCAGCAAGAACATCAAACAAGAATGACATGCTAAATGTCCAGAAATGTCCAGAACATGGGTAAAGGGCAAATTACTGAGATTATTCCAATAGCTATTTTATCTTAAAGATTCTGACTCTAGTACTAATATGTTCTAGCTAAGATATGAGAAGATTGTAGCTGTAACTATCTAGTCTGAACTGGACAGAGAAATCATGTAGATTGTCTCTGGAAAGAATATTCCAGGGGGCTGGAGAGATGGCTCAGTGGCTAAGAGTCCCACTGCTCTTCCAGAGGACCTGGGTTCAATTCCCAGTGCCCTCATAGCAGCTCACAAGTGTCTAATGTCCTCTTCTGACCTCTGTGGGTACCAGGCACACACATTCTGCAGACACCCCTACACATAAAATAAAAATAAATTTTTAAAAGAAATATTCCAGAGGCAAGAAATACAAGGCCTTGAAAAGGCACCATGTTTTGTTTTGAATTTTCTGTGCTCTTTACATCCTTACTTTTACAAGTTCATGTAACTGAAGTACACAGTGAGAGAATTTTCTGATGTATGGGATATGTTTTGAAAATAGAACTAAGAGCCGGGCGGTGGTGGCGCACGCCTTTAATCCCAGCACTCAGGAGGCAGAGGCAGGTGGATCTCTATGAGTTCGAGGCCAGCCTGGTCAACTGAGCGAGATCCAGGAAAGACTCAAAGCTACACAGAGAAACCCTGTCTCGGAAAAACCAAAAAAAACAAAAAACAAAAACGTAAAATTGAGGGAGGTTGAGGCAAGTGGACAAGCAGATCTCTATGTGTTCAAGGCCTGCCTGGTCTGCATAGCAAGTCCCAGGACATCCAAGGCTACAGAATGAGATTGTCTCAACATACAAACTACACACACACACACACACACACACACACACACACACACACACACACACACGACTGAGCAACAGAGCATAATCACAGTACTTGGTGGACTGAGACAGTAAAATCAAGGTCTGCGGGAGCCCGTTCTCGGGTTCCTCGTGGCTTTACCCAGCAGGTCCACATAGATGATCAGGACCACGGGCCTGAGTGCAGGTGTCTGAGATGGTCTGCACTTGGCTGTGCTGGGGAAGGAGGTCTTTTGCTTCACCCCTTGGCGTCTCTAAAAACCCTGGGGCAGAGACAGTCAGGGCCCATTGGAAAAGGTTCCAGGCCCTCTCGAGGCTATCTTTTATTTTCTATCTGTTTATCTCCGCAAGATTCTCCGCTATAAATCCTTCTATCTAATATTTCCTGCTGCTCGCACTCAAGAAAACTCTGGGGAGCTGTGGGGTTGGTGGGTAAACGCCCCACAAAGGTCTCAGGAGTTGAGCTGTAGAGATGACTCGGCAGTTAAGAGAACATACTGGCTTCCAGAGGACCCTAGTTCGATTCCCAGCACCCAAGTCAAGCAGCTCACAATCACCTGTAATTCTAGGGCCAGGGGAATCCAGTGTCCTCTTCTAGCCTTCAAAAGCACTCATACTCCTATGTGGACACACACATACACACAGCCAAACACATATCCACCGAACTGCACACACCACACTGCGTCAGGATCAATTACACAAGGACACACCCTTGTAAGCCAC